CATTAACAACCTCAGATATGCAGATGACACCACCCTGATGGCCGAAAGCGAGGATGAGCTGAGGAGCCTTCTAATCAAGGTGAAAGAAGAAAGCGCAAAAGCCGGGTTGCAGCTAAACGTCAAAAAAACCAAGATTATGGCAACAAGAATGATTGACAACTGGAAAATAGAAGGAGAAACCGTGGAGGCCGTGACAGGCTTTGTATTTCTAGGTGCAAAGATTACTGCAGATGCAGACTGTAGCCAGGAAATCAGAAGACGCTTCCTTCTTGGGAGGAGAGCAATGTCCAGTCTCGATAAAATAGTGAAGAGTAGAGACATCAGACTGGCAACAAAGATCCGCTGCATAGTCAAAGCCATGGTATTCCCTGTAGTAACCTACGGATGTGAGAGCTGGACCTTAGGGAAGGCTGAGCGAAGGAAGATAGATGCTTTTGAACTGTGGTGTTGGAGGAAAGTTCTGAGAGTGCCTTGGACTGTGAGAAGATCCAACCAATCCATCCTCCAGGAAATAAAGCCCGACTGCTCATTGAAGGGAAGGATACTAGAGACAAAGTTGAAGTACTTTGGCCACATCATGAGCAGACAGCAAAGCCTAGAGAAGACAATTATGCTGGGGAAAGTGGAAGGCAAAAGAAAGAGGGGCCGACCAAGGGCAAGATGGATGGATGGCATCCTTGAAGTGACTGGACTGACCTTGAGGGAGCTGGGGGTGGTAACGGCCGACAGGGAGCTCTGGCGTGGGCTGGTCCATGAGGTCACGAAGAGTCGGAGACGACTGAACGAATGAACAAATATATATATTAGCTGTCTCCTGCCATGCGTTGCTGTGGCCCAGTGTGGTAATCTGGAAAATAAAGTAATGAGAAAGTGTTGGTTTCTAATATATGTAATTTCTTTATGCTTGTGGATAAACAGTATTTCTTTCTGTTTCTTCGTCAGTGTTGATGTGGAGATTGTCTGGTTTGCCTACTCTGGAACATGCAACATATAATTGATCCCTTTCAAATCTATGATATTATATCTCTGTTGTGCAAATCATATATATCTATATCTAAGGCTGGATGGCTCTTTGTCAGGAGGGCTTTGATTATGTTTTCTTGCCCTGGTGAAGGGAGTTGGACTGGATGGCCTTACGTATTTTCTGTTGGTCATGGGGGTTCAGTGTGGGAAGTTTGCCCCATTCTCTCGTTCGTGGGGTTCAGAATGCTCTGTGATTGTAGGTGAACTATAAATCCCAGCAACTACAATTCCCAAATGTCAAGATTCTATTTTCCCCAAACTCCAACAGTGTTCACATTTGGGCATATTGAGTCTTCGTGTAGAGTTTGGTCCAGATCCATCATTGTTTGAGCCCACAGTGATCTCTGGATGTAGGTGAACTACAACTCCAAAACCAAAGGACACTGCCCACCAAACCCTTCCAGTATTTTCTGTTGGTCATGGGAGAACTGTGTGCCAACTTTGGTTCAATTCCATCGTTGGTGGAGTTCAGAATGCTCATTGATTGCAGGTGAACTATAAATCCCAGCAACTACAACTCCCAAATGACAAAATCAATTTTTTGAGTGAAGGACATGAATTGGGATGTTAGGTGTCTTGTGTCCAAATTTGGTGTCAATTCCCCCAGTGGTTTTTGAGTTCTGTTAATCCCAGAAACGAACATCACATTTTTATTTATATAGATATTTAGATATATAAATTTATTCATTCTTTTTGCCATAATTGCTGTTAGAATTTTACCATCTTGTATTTAAAGATGTATTTGATTTTAATAAACACATGTTCAGAAGGAATGGTCTCATTTACAGATTTATAGCTGTCCCAATTTCAGCTAACAAGAAAAGACAAGTCAGATATTTTCTTATAAATCTACATGTATTATATATTCTTGGGGGCAAATTCTTGACTTTAAGAAAACCACTTTTAATAAGCATGTGAGCCTGGTTGTTCCTGTATCTTTAGACTCCATGTCAGACTGGTGATAGCAGACCGCGGAAGGAAGCATCTAGCCTGTTAAAGATATTTCAGCCCCTTTTAATACAGTGTGACCCTTAACTCAAACATACACGCGTCAGTTGTGACTTTAAGTTGGAAAGAAAATTGTTCATTCGCTTTAGTTCAATAATAATACCAAGCAAATCAAAATAGTTGATCTCACCAAAGTATAACAACAAACAGTTTCTTCAGCGAGTCGTCATCTTTTAACTACAACAGTCAATAAACATAGTAATTAGATCAGTTTCTGTCTGCTTTGTTGAAAATAAGATGCCCTTGACTTGCTGCAGACAAGGAGTCACTGATTGAGGTTCTGGGTTTTAGCCTGCCACTTCTGGACTCTCACTTATTATTATTATGTTTATTTTATTTCTTCCCTGCCTCTCCATAAAGCTAAAGTGAGCACCATATAGTTAAACACTTCATAAACCATTTTAGAAAATTCATATGTTAACGTATACTTGTATGAAATATATTATATTATATTTATATACCTTGTATTGTTCTGTGAGGAGAGCAATGACCAATCTCGATAAAATAGTGAAGAGTATAGACATCACACTGGCAATCCGACTGTTGCCTGGGATTGCAACATTCACAATCCTCTCTCATCAGCCAAAAGCAGGCCCACACTTTCTATTGAAATACTGTTGTTGTTCATTCGTTCAGTCGTCTCCGACTCTTCGTGACCTCATGGACCAGCCCACGCCAGAGCTCCCTGTCGGCCGTCACCACCCCCAGTTCCTTCAAGGTCAGTCCAGTCACTTCAAGGATGCCATCCATCCATCTTGCCCTTGGTCGGCCCCTCTTCCTTTTGCCTTCCACTTCCCCCAGCATAATTGTCTTCTCTAGGCTTTGCTGTCTCCTCATGATGTGGCCAAAGGACTTCCACTTTGTCTCTCGTCTCCTTCCCTCCAATGAGCAGTCGGGCTTTCTTTCCTGGAGGATGGACTGGTTGGATCTTCTCACAGTCCAAGGCACTCTCAGTACTTTCCTCCAACACTAATACTAATAAATGTACTGTATATTCTGGCGTATAAGACTACTTTTTAACCCAAGAAAATCTTCCCAAAAGTCAGGGGTCGTCTTATATGTGGGAGTCGTCTTATAGAGCGGGTGCTAAAACTTCCAATCGGATTGGAGAATCTGTGGTTGCCGCCTATGGTGGGGGGAGCTCAAAAATGGCAATGGCCTCATCCCTGCCATATGCAGCAACTGTATGAAAGCATTAAGGGTGACGCTGTACAAGTACGGTAGAAGAAAATCCATTCATCAGGATTCGTGGACTTAATGCGGTCCCGATGGTGAGGTGAAGGGGCATCTCACCAGTAAGGTGTAAGTGAAGGGTGGAGCAAGCTGCAGGCGTCCGGGGCGCTCGGGGTATGGAAAAAAGAGTGGCTCTGGGCCCAGAAAAACACACATCTTTTCTCTGTCTGGCCCGCCCTTGTTTCCTATTACCGTATCTCCACCTCTGCCTGTCAGATCTCACTCCTGAAGACTGCAGTGAAGCGGTGCAGGTGCGCAGGTGCGAGATCTGAGAGGCAGAGAAGGAGGGACAGTAATAGAAAATTACCCATATTGAAATCAAATCTGATGCTTTTTAAAAATTTTTATTTGGTGTGCTTTGGAAGAGGGGTAGTCTTATATGGCGAGTATATCCCAAACTCTATATTTTAACTGGAAAAGTTGGGGATCGTCCTATACACCCAGTCGTCTTATATGTCGGAAAATATGGTAATCGTGTTATCTTTTATGAGCTCTGTTTCAGTATCCCATTCTAAGAGTTTCCGATATAGCAGAGAATAAACTCTCTGTGACAGACTTTGTATTTCTAGGTGCAAAGATTACTGCAGATGCAGACCGTGGCCAGGAAATCAGAAGACGCTTACTTCTTGGGAGGAGAGCAATGTCCAATCTCGATAAAATAGTAAAGAGTAGAGACATCAGACTGGCAACAAAGATCCGCCTAGTCAAAGCCATGGTATTCCCTGTAGTGACCTACGGATGTGAGAGCTGGACCTTAGGGAAGGCTGAGCGAAGGAAGATCGATGCTTTTGAACTGTGGTGTTGGAGGAAAGTTCTGAGAGTGCCTTGGACTGCGAGAAGATCCAACCAGTCCATCCTCCAGGAAATAAAGCCCGACGGCTCATTGGAGGGAAAGATACTAGAGACAAAGTTGAAGTACTTTGGCCACATCATGAGAAAACAGGAAAGCCTAGAGAAGACATGCTGCTGGGGAAAATGGAAGGAAAAAGGAAGAGGGGCCAACCAAGGGCAAGATGGGTGGATGGCATCCTGGAAGTGACTGGCTTGACTTTGAAGGAGCTGGGGAAGGTGACGGCTGACAGGGAGCTCTGGTGTGGGCTGGTCCATGAGGTCACGAAGAGTCGGAGACGACTGAACGAATGAACAACAACAACAATGACTTGAAAGCACATAACAACAACAACAATCCTCTCTCATCAGCCAAAATCCTCTCTCATCAACAATCCTCTCTCATCAGCTAATCCTCTCTCATCAGCCAAAAGCAGGCCCACACTTTCTTGGGTGGGAGTAGCTGGGCTTCCCTCCCTCTTGGGGCTCCTGGGGGCCTCCCACCCAAGTCTCAACCAGGGGTGGCCCTGCTCAGCCTTCCAGGCCAGCCAGGAAAGAGCGAGTGGGGGCCTCCAGGGGACTCAGGCCAGGCAGACTCAGAAGGGACCCCTTGGGGTTGTGAGGAGGGCTCTTGTGGGGGCTCTCCTGAGTTTGCAGCCTGGCATCCCACTGGGCTTCTGAGCTGCTTGAGCCTCACAATGGACAGCAGATGGCAGCACCTTCCCTGCAGCCAAGACAGCCTGGCAGCCCTCCAGAAGGAAGGAAGGAAGGAAGGAAGCCCCAAATAGGAGGGAGTGAGAAGGGACCCCCAAAGGCCATCCAGTCCAGCCACCTTTTGCAGGCAGGCCCCTCCCCTTTTGTGGGCCCCGTGGCCACGCCCCCTATGCGTCATAGAGGCGCCGTCATCACCCACGCCACGCCCCCTCCGCCAGCGCCATGTCTGGGAGGAAGACAAGGAAGGAAGAAGAAGGTGAGAGTGGTTGCGGAAGTCCTCTTGTCCTCCTCCTCCTCCTGTGTTTTCCATCCGGGACCCATTTGGGCCTCTTCCAACGCCACAAAGACAGGCTGAGGTGGGCCAGGGATTCCTCCTTGGTGCCTCAGGCAGATCAAGAGAGAGGGAGGCCTTCCTTCCTTCCTTTCCCGACTCATCCGCGGCCTCCTCCTCTTTCCTGAGGGATTCCTTCCTTCCTCCCTGGAGGCCAGGCCCACAGAGAGAGAGAGAGACACCCGGGGGGCCCTTCTGGAGGGAGCCTCCTCCTGGCAGAGCCTGCATTCAGCTTCCCATCCTGTTTTCAGCATAGATTTTAAACTCTGCTACTTGTGTTTTGATCTCTGTTCTGTGCATTTTAATCTGTATTTTATTGAAACACGTTTTAATGCACTCCTTTTATATAAACACAGTTTAGTATTTGTATTTCATGATTATTAAATCATGTTTATAATGTGTTTTATTTCTGCTGTAACTTGACAAGCTGGAATGTGTCCAGAGGAGAGCGACTAAAATGATCAAGGGTCTGGAGAACAAGCCCTATGAGGAGCGGCTTAAGGAGCTGGGCATGTTTAGCCTGAAGAAGAGAAGGCTGAGAGGAGATATGATAGCCATGTATAAATATGTGAGAGGAAGCCACAGGGAGGAGGAGGGAGCAAGCTTGTTTTCTGCTTCCTTGGAGACTAGGACGCAATGAAACAATGGCTTCAAACTACAAGAGAGGAGATTCCATCTGAACATGAGGAAGAACTTCCAGACTGTGAGAGCCATTCAGCAGTGGAACTCTCTGCCCCGGAGTGTGGTGGAGGCTCCTTCTTTGGAAGCTTTTAAACAGAGGCTGGATGGCCATCTGTCAGGGGTGATTTGAATGCAATATTCCTGCTTCTTGGCAGAATGGGGTTGGACTGGATGGCCCATGAGGTCTCTTCCAACTCTTTGATTCTATGAATGTGCACCTTTTATAGAAATGCATTTTAATATTTGTATTTTACGCATTTTTAAATCATGTTTATAATGTGTTTTAGTTCTGCTGTCACCCACCTTGAGAAACAAGGGGAGGTGGGTTAGAAACACACTTATTATTGTATTGTCGAAGGCTTTCATGGCCGGAATCACTGGGTTGTTGTAGTTTTTTTTTCGGGCTATGTGGCCATGTTCTAGAGGCATTCTCTCCTGACGTTTCGCCTGCATCTATGGCAAGCATCCTCAGAGGTAGTGAGCTAAGTCAGCCATAGCAGAGCACCTGGTGAACCAGCCTGGACACAGCATATTATTTGAGAACACAGAAATGCTGGACCACACCAACAACCACCATGTCAGGCTACACAGAGAAGCCATTGAAATCCACAAGCATGTGGACAATTTCAACAGAAAGGAAGAGACCATGAAAATGAACAAAATCTGGCTACCAGTATTAAAAAAAACTCTGAAATTACAACAGCAAAACAGCAGGGAGGAAACAATCAGGCACATCAAATCACAAATTTTAAAATGCAATGCGGCCCTGTGTCCGAAAGTGACTTGGGACTGCATGAGAAAGTTTTCATTCCAGAAGAGCTGCACGGCTTTAAAGGTTTGAGAACCCTTGTGTTAGAGGATCCTTCTTATCCTTTGCTCAGTGTAGCCTTTGTTGAATTATCTTGGTGGAGCTGTAGGTTGTTTGTAGGTTGTATTTCTTCACCAGCTTCCATATGCGGTCAGTGGTTCCCTTGATTATGGTAAGAACACTTTTCCTCTGGGTGGGTTTTTGTCTTTGCTCTCGTTGCTTGTTCTTGGTCTTGCAGCTCTTCTGATTTCTGTCCTAGAATACATGCTCATTGGCCCGAAGAACCGGGTTTAAGTGGTTCAGTTCACATTGGAGGAGATGGGGTTCACAGATCCTGTCTGCACAGTCTACCAGGGCTTTCATTGGGCCTCTTTTTTGACCTGAGTGATGGTTGTAGCTTTTATGTAGGCATCTATCAGTGTGTAGCCCAATTATTGATTTGGTTTGTGGATGATTAGGACACCTAAAAATGGCAGTTTTCCTTCATTTTCTTTTCCCTGGTCAATTGGATGTTTTGGGGGGATGTTGTTGAGATGGTCCAGGAACTTGTTTATTTATTTACTGCATTTGTTGACCGCCGTTCTCAGCTCTAGGGCGACTCACGGTTTAGTTCTTCTTCGTCGTCTACATATCAGAACCATATCATGGGCTGTTTTGGTGCTTGTTTCTCAAAGTGTTCCATGTAAACACATACACACAGAACAGCAGGCATCTAATTTGGGATGTTCAGGAAGCGGACCTGGGACCCATTGTGGGTTGGGGGGCAGTCCAGTAATCTTTTTGTCCCTCAGCATTAAGCACATCCTGGTAATTCAGTGGAACCCATTATCCAGTGAGTGACACTCTTAATTTTTTTAAGAACTGTTATTGCCTGGGCTGGTATCTGTGTATGTGCTTGAGACCTCAATTCCTGCATTTCTTGATATTTCCATTTTCAACATGACACGTGAAGGGAAAGGGGGGACATCTTGCAGGTAAAGAAGGTTTCTAGCTTTCATCACTGATCTTTTGCTTCTTTCTTGACCAGGGAAATGAGGATTCTACGGAGTCACCTCTCAGGGTGATGATCTTGCTGAATTCTTGACCTCACTTGCAGATAAGAAAGGAAAAAGCAGAGCAACGTATCTGTATTGCAATTCAACACCCATATCACTGCTGACATGAAGGAGAAAGCTTCCAAAGGCCTGGAGTGTGAAAAGGGTTTCACATGGAGGGATCATCTCCAGCACAATGAAAAGACTCATACTGGGGAGGAGCATAAACATCAAAGAACTCACACTGAGGAAAAACCCTATAAATGCCTGGAGTGTGGACAGAGCTTCACTCATAATTCAAGTCTACATTCACATCAAAGGATTCACACTGGGGAGAAACCCTATAAATGCATGGAATGTGGACAGTGCTTCAATCACAGTTCAAATCTACGTCGGCATGAAAGGATTCACACTGGGGAGAAACCCTATAAATGCCTGGAGTGTGGACAAAGCTTCACTCGGAGTTGGACTCTACAAACACATCAAAGGACTCACAGTGGGGAGAAACCCTATAAATGCCTGGAGTGTGGACAGAGCTTCACTGAGAATTGCAGTCTACGTTCGCATGAAAGGATTCACAGTGGGGAGAAACCCTATAAATGCATGGAATGTGGACAAAGCTACACTCAGAGTTCAGGTCTACGTAAGCATCAAAGGACTCACAGTGGGAAGAAACCCTATGAATGCTTGGAGTGTGGACAGAACTTCACTCATAATTCAGGTCTACGTTCACATCAAAGGATTCACAGTGGGGAGAAACCCTATGAATGCTTGGAGTGTGGACAGAACTTCACTCATAATTCAGGTCTACGTTCACATCAGAGGACTCACGCTGGAGAGAAACTCTATAAATGCCCGGATTGCGAACAGAGCTTCACTCATAACTCAAGTCTGCGTTCACATCAGAGGACGCACACTGGGGAGAAGCCCTATAAATGCTGGGAGTGTGGAAAGAGTTTTACTGTGAGCGGACATCTACGTTCGCATCAAAGAATTCACACTGGGGAGAAACCCTATAAATGCTGGGAGTGTGGAAAGAGTTTCACTGAGAGTGGAAGTCTACGATCGCATCTCAGGACTCACACTGGGGAGAAACCCTATAAATGCCTGGAATGTGGACAGAGCTTCACTCAGAGTTCAGGTCTACGTTCACATCTCAGGACTCACACTGGGGAGAAACCCTATACATGCCTGGAATGTGGGCAGAGCTTCACTCAGAGTTCAGGTCTATATACACATCAAAGGATTCACACTCAGTTGAAACCCTTTAAATGCCTTGAATGTGAACAGAGCTTCACTCGTAATTCAAGTCTACATACGCACCAAAGTACCCACACTAGGGAGAAACTCTAGAAATGCCTGGAGTATGGAAAGAGTTTATTTAAGAGATGAAATCTACATACACCCTGTATACTAGTTTGTCATGGCACACCGTTAGGAAAGCTCCGATCTGAGCCGTACAGAGGCAATAATCATTAATGCAGAAAAATATTATTGGGATATTTTTTATGATATTGTGGTGCTTTTGCAGAAAGGCAAGAAAATATTGGACTCAAATGCATATGATACTAGATGAAAAATGTACAGTTTAGATTTACAATGAAACCCAAGTTTTGTTTCATAGGAATACTGGACAGTCGTCTAGAAACAACATTTGGAAGAGAACATCTGTTTTCAGGTGGAAGACGGCCCTGGTCAGGGTTGCCTTAACATGCCTATCTGTTGGCACGTTTCTCCCTTTCGCCCTCCATTCGTGCCTCTTCTAATTTGGCAGCACTGCTGGTCACAGCTGACCTCCAGCTAGAGCTCTCAAGGGCCAGGGCTTCACAGTTCTCAGTGTCTGTGCCACAGTTTTTGAGGTTGGCTATAAGCCCATCTTTAAATCTCTTTTCTTGTCCACCAACATTACATTTCCCATTCTTAAATTGGGAGTAGAGTAACTGCCTTGGGAGACAATGATCGGGCATTTCGACAACATGGCCAGCCCAGCAGAATTGATGGTGTAGGAGCATCGCTTCAGTCCTGGTGGTCTTTCCTTCTTCCAGCACACCGACTTTTGTTGTTGTGAAAATACGCAAAAACAACTGTCAGCGTATTCATGGCTGTAATCACTGGGTTGTTGTGTGTTTTCTAAGCTGTATGGACATGTTCCAGAAGGATTTTCTCCTCACAACCTCTGAGGATGCCTGCCACAGATGTAGGCAAAACATCAGGAGAGGATCAAATGTCATTGTGTTTTCACAACAACAGCAACAGGGGCAAATGTCAGTTGTTGGATTTATGAATTAGAAGAGTGTTGCTAAAAGCAGAAGTGTACTTATTAAGGGTTATCTATGGTGAATAGAATAATAAGAGATACAATTAACTCAGTTTGAAGATCTTAGAATTACTCCCAAGTCTGTCTGTTTGTTTGTTTGTTTTGGAAAATGGAAGTCTCTATAACCTTTTGGAGATTTTATGATCTTTGGAAAGGCATGACTTTGTTAGACCTTGTTAGAAGTCATGACCTTTTGAAAAATGATGCCATAACCTCTTGATAAAAAGCATGACCTGTTAGAGCAGTTTGTTCTCTCCTGTGGTCCGTGGACCACCAGTGATCCGCAATAACTGAAATATGGTCTGTGGCCTCACTGTTACTGCTACAGATAATAACACAGCACCACCCTGCTTTTTTAGGCCTGTTCCTGGAGGTATTTGGAGTGCTGATTCAGAAAATTGCATTGGATAAACCACATCAGCTCTAGATTATTCGATAAGGTTGTGGGAAAGCAGATAGGGACTCTTGGATGGCATATGTTCTGTATCAAAAACTAGAGCTGATTTGGTCTACCCAATGCAATTTTCTGAATCAGCCCCACAAATAAACAAGCCGAGTCTAAAATTGACCAAAAACTGATTCATAACCCTTTTGGTACTAATGTTGGAGAGTGGTCCTTGGTCAAAGTGGTCCCTGGTTAAAAAAAAAAGTTGGGAACCAGTGTGTAACCTTTTTTGGAAAATGACATTCATGCAAGGCAACTAGGTTTCTAAGCTGTTAATCTGATGTACCTAGGTATGTCTTTGAACTATTAGGGACAGCGATATGCCAATGCACAAAAAACATTCCGCATATAATTGAGTTTAAGTCGAGGCACCTAATTTTACCACAAAAACTGGGAAAGCTTATTGACTTGAGTATAACCTGAGGGTGGTAAATGCAGCAGCTACTGGCTAATTTCAAAATAAAAATAGATAACAATAAAATTGCATTAATTGAAGCATCAGTAGGTTAAATGTTTTTGAATATTTACATAAAACTATAATTTAAGATAAGACTGTCCAACTCTGATTGGATCATTATTCTAACCTTCTTCAATGTAAATGTGCTTATGTGTCCTTCCAATAATCACCATAGCTTATTTTATCTAAACATTTTTTGGGAAAATACTGTGTGTATATGAATAAGGAGAAGTGAGAAAGGCTGGCGCTGAGGGAGGAGGAGAGGAAGGCATGCGCAGTGTGGAGAGAGGGGGAGAGGAAGGCATGTGCTGTGCAAGAGAGGAGAAGAAGGAGACCTGGGTTCTTGTGAGGAGAGGTGAGAGTCCTGGCAGGAAAGTGTGGGGTTGAAAAAAACCCTTATTTCACTCCCACCCCTTCCCACCAGGACCTCACCCAAGTATAAGCCGAGAGGGGCCTTTCAGCCTAAAAAACTAGGCTTATACTCAAGCATATACAGTATATAGCAGAGTTTCAGAAGTATTCCTTTTAGCTGCCCCCCCCCCCCCAAATATATATTCTCACTTAAAACCTCTTGATTTAAATCATGCTCTTGAGAGACAAAAATAAGCAGACTGATTTGAATGCAATATTCCTGCTTCTTGGCAGGGGGTTGGACTGGATGACCCATGAGGTCTCTTCCAACTCTTTGATTCTATGATTCTTTAAAAGTAACATAGTTGGTTTACTCACAAACTTAGAGAGCCTTGACTACTGCAACGCTCTCTACGTGGGGCTGCCCTTAAAGACGGCCCGGAAACTTCAGCTAGTCCAGCGCGCGGCAGCCATGTTACTAACAGGATGGGACACAGGGAGCATACTGTTGCTGTTCCAGCTCCACTGGCTGCCGATTTGCTACCGGGCCCAATTTAAGGTGCTGGTGTTATCCTACAAAGCCCTAAACGGTTCCGGCCCAAAATACCTTTCGGACCGCATCTTGGCCTATGAGCCCACGAGGACCTTGAGATCGTCTGGGGAGGCCCTTCTCTCGATCCCGCCTGCTTCACAGGCACGTCTGGCGGGGACGAGAGAAAGGGCCTTCTCGGTGGTGGCCCCCCGGCTGTGGAACGCCCTCCCTGTTGACATCAGACAGGCGCCCTCCCTTATGTCTTTCCGTAAGAGCCTGAAGACCTGGCTATTTGAGAAGGCATTCAACTGAGCGCTACGGTAACTGGTAATTGACAACTGGAACGGAATACGGATTACGATATTGGTTATGATTCTATGATGTGACGGAGCGGATTATTTAGTGTAACTAGATTATAGTGTATTATTGTTGTATTGATTCCCTGTTTTGCCCTTTTTGTAAACTGTTTTTATATGTTGTGCACCGCCGCGAGTCTCCCTAGGGCTGAGAGCGGCGGTCAATAAATGCAGTAAATAAATAAATAAATAAATAAACAGAATCAAAGAGTTGGAAGAGACCTCATGGGCCATCCAGTCCAACCCCATTCTGCCAAGAATCAGGAATATTGCATTCAAATCACCCCTGACAGATGGCCATCCAGCCTCTGTTTAAAAGCTTCCAAAGAAGGAGCCTCCACCACACTCTGGGGCAGAGAGTTCCACTGCTGAATGGCTCTCACAGTCATGAAGTCCCACCTCAGTCCCCCCTACGTTTCTAGCACCCCTTTCCCACCCCAGTCTTTTTTTTCTAGTTTCCCCATTCCTATCCCAGTCTTTACTACCCCCATTCCCCAGTCCCTCTCTCTCCACTTTCCATCCCAGCCTTTCCCAGGTTCCAGCCTCTCTTTCCCATTTCAGTCTTGCCCCCTTTCCCACTGCAGTTTCCCACTTTCCATCCCAACCTTTCCCAGTTTCCAGACCGCCTTTTCCACCTCAATCTTTCCTCCTTGTTGCCCCCTTCCCACTCCAGTCTGTCCTACTTTTCCAGCTATCCCCTTTCCACCTAATTTTTCCACTTTTTCAAACACCCCTTCCCATCTTTTCTTTCCCACCCCCTTCCCAAGTCAGTCTTTCCCACTTTTCTCATTCATATATACACAGCATTTCCCCCAAAATATATACTGTAGTTAAAATAAACTATGGTGATTATTGGATTATTATTGGTTTTGTTGTTATTATTACATTTATTATTTTATTCTATTTATTATTATTATTATTTGTATTTTTCTCTATTGTTATTACATTTATTATTTTACTCTACTGTTATTACATTTCTTAATATTATTAAATTTATTATTTTTCTCTATTGTTATTACATGTATTACTTTGACTATAGTCCGGCCCTCCAAAGGTCTGAGGGACAGTGAACTGGCCCCCTGTTTAAAAAGTTTGAGGACCCCTGGTCTAAAGTATCTCTCCATCCTGAGAGTATAATAGAGTCTCTGTCAGGAGCGTTTTCATGGCCCCCACGACAACTATGGGGCTGTCCCAAATGATATCTGGGCCCACCCATGTAGTTGGACACACTCTTGACTTCGTATTTATTATGAATGGGGATGAAAATATCGGGATGGAAGAACTGTCAATTGTTCCGTTCTCGTCATCTTAATCAATTATATCCTTCTAAACCGTGATCATTTGAGTTTAGCATATTCTCATACTTTTATATTTATTCCTTTTCTTAATTTGGTATAATCATTTGTCTCTCAGTCTTCTTTTCTTATATTTATTCCCAAATATTTAATAATTGAATCTTTAATTTTAATTTTCCCCACTTTTTATTTTTTTAATCTCTTCTTCCGGGTAATTAAGTAACAACATTTTTTATTTTTTGCAATTAATTTGTAGACCTGTTGTTTTCCCAAAGTCTTCTAAATAATTTTCAATTTTCCCACTTTTGTATTGGGTTTTCCACTGATAAAAAGGTATCATCTGCAAATAAATTAACTACATATATTTTTATAACCTATTCCTTTTATACTAACTTCCTCTATAATTACATTTGCTAAAATTTCCATTACTATTGCAAACAAGATTAGGAAAGGGGGCAATCCTTCCTTGTGCCCCGGGTTATTTTTATTTTTTTCTGTGAGGTAATGATTTACCATCACTGAGGCATCATTCTTTTAATATAATTTGTCAATTCAGCTTCTAAATTTTTCTCCAAATCCAAATTTCTCCAATACCAGTTTTAAAGCAGCTCAAGAGACTCTATCAAAAGCCTTTTATATATCCGAAGCTAATAGACCTGTTTAACATTTTCTCTTTTTATATTATGAATTATATTTAAACTTGACATTTTTCTCCCTGCTGTGAAACCACATTGATTGAGATATATATTCATTCTTTTTTTTGCTATAATTGCTGTTAGAATTGTAGCATCTTGTATTTAAAGATGTATTTAATTTTAATAAACAGGTGTTCCGAAGGAATGGTCTCATTTACAGGTACACCCCATGTCAGGCTAGTGATAGCAGACCGCGGAAGCAAGCATCTAGCCTGTTAAAGATATTTCAGCCCCTTTTAATACAGTATGACCCTGAACTCAAACATACACGAGTCAGTTGTGACTTTAAGTAGAAAAGAAAATTGTTCATTCACTTTAGTTCAATAATAATACAAAGCAAATCAGAATAGTTGATCTCACTGAAGTACAATAATGAACACTTTCTTCAGTGAGTCGTCATCTTTTAACTACAACAGTAAATAAATATAGTAATTAGTTCGGTTTCTGTCTACTTTGTTGAAAATAAGATGCCCTTGACCTGCCACAAAGCAGTCTTTCTTGGTGTTGACTTCAGCTTCAGTTTCCAAATGCTGCTTCCAGCTCCGATGAGCTACCAGCTCTAAAACTGAGCCAAGCTAAGCAAATACAAAAGCTCACCAATGTGGTGAAGTGTGAATTTTAATTTACTGATTAGTATAATAATAGATAGGTGTTTAAAAGGGTAAGTATTTAAACTAGCATAATTGGGGAATGGTAGCCAGCTCAACTCACTTTGAGCTGAGTTGCCATGGAAAAAGGGGCAGAGCCAACTGCCACTTGGCAGGGCAGCCATTTTAAAACAGTCAGTCTGTAGTCAGTGAACTACAGGGAAGGCTGGTTTTGTTGTGTGTTGAGAACCAGTAAGGTAGTCTGTAGTCTAAAAACTTCAGGGGAAAGCTGATTCTATTGTGTTGAGAATCAGGAAGGTTTTGGCTTTTAGCCTGTGTAGTTTAGATAGGTCAAGTTGACTTATTTATATTATTAGTCAATGTATGAGCAAAAGGGGGAGAGAGCCCTAATAAGAATCTTTATTGCAACAGAAATAACATAAGGAAAAAAATAAGCCTGTGCCTGAAGTAATCGGTTAAAGGAAGAAACACATTTTGAAGGAAAATAAGTTTAAAACCTGTTTAATGGAAATAATAGTCCTCTCAAGAGTTGGTTTATGAAATGTTATAAATGTAACCTTTGAAGATATGTGCCTCTAAAAGCTAAGGAACATTGAAACTATCAAGCTTCTTCAATAAACTTGTTACAGTTCTTCTAAAACCAAGTCTCTGTTACAAATACTTTCAAGTTAAGCCATGCTACACATTGAAGAAAGCACAAATCAATATTACAAGCTATTAGTTGTGTTATCAATTTAATAAGTCCTTACAAAGTGGCTCCTTTACAAACCGTTATAAATTGGTGGCATCGTTACAAACTGGGTGCCATCTTTTACAAATTGGTGGCCTCTTTTACAACCAACCACAAACTTAGTAAGTAGATAACACATCCAACTAAGCCATAACAGCAGCTTTAGAGCTGCAATAGAATGGGTTAGATCC